GGGGATAAGGAAGGAACAGATTCAATCTGTCTTCACCGGAAAACTCATCCTGGAGAACGACTCACACATTTGCGGCAAAACCGATTTTTCGATAAAATACGATAATTTCTTCACTAATAGGCAATTAAAGGAGTAAATATGTCCTGTTTTTGGTTCCTTTTTCTACTCATAGTGCTCCTTTCATCTGAAGGCCAAAAAGTAACGGTAATAAGATTTGAAGTGACCAAATTTTAGGCTTGACCGTCCGTTTTAAAAAAAGGACTAGGGCTCTAGGAGTGATCAATCTCTGCGGGATGCGTCGCTTCATCAAGCATCGTTAAAGGGATGAAATTCATACCTGACCTACAGGTCTCCCTTTGGAACCCGATTGGTAATACCTACGATAAAGACCGCTCGTGTGCTAGAATCTTCCATTATTGACTAATAGAAGAATTACTAAGGATTTCCTGCTACTACTTGTCTATCTACTTTTTAATATTCCTTCATAATCATGTTTTCTTATGTTATTTTATTTCATCCGTCTTCACGTCTACTATGAGGATCCCAACACTTCTCACATCCAATTCGTTTCCTCGCATCCATTGTCCACGAAGATCTTCCAACTTTTACGTGTGGCTTCGGTTGCTGCTTGAGGATTTTCATTTCATCTTGAATGTCGTAGAATGCCGGTCGAGCAATGCTCCCTTAAGGCCTGAGATAGCCGGGCTGGAGCTTTTCCAATTGGACTGCAGAGAATGATTTTTTCCCAAAGAAGTCCGGTACCAATTTCCCGACCACGGAAGGATGATAGACTTAGTTGACTAGGAGCGGAATCGAAATAACACCATGCTTCTGATGACGGACATCACTACCAATGTGCTATCAGCCCCAAAATAACTGTGTTTGCCACACAGAAATGTAAAGTGTACAATGCCTGAATGTGACGATGTAAATCGTTTCTATAAAATGAGCGCAGTAATATAGATAACCAGAAATGTTAGTTTAAAAGAAAACGACAACTAACCCAACATTTCGCAAATAATGTTTAAGAAATGGTTTTAGAGCACTTACAGTTTTCTTCACGTAGACGGAACATCTCCCAAAACAACACCAAAAAAATGAGAGCGATCGGAATCAGTGAAATAACCAAAACATCGACTATTCCCTAAAGACGTTCGTAAAGAGTCCTTGTTTGTTTTAACATATGTATTGCATTTTTTATCCAATACTCATCCGATTTTCCTTCGTATATTCGTAAAAACAGGCGCATGTAGCGCAGTGGTCGGAGGCGCCTTGCGACCCAAACGTGGAATCGGTCCTCTCGTCCATAGCCCACCAAGCTTTCCATCCCTCCGGGACCGGCAAATTGGTATCAGACTTTTCTGGTAGCAGCTCTGGCTCGATACATCGGTAGGCCACCGCGAGTCATTGTAAAGGCTAGATTTGCATTCAATCGCCACCAAACGATGCTTAATGAAGTCGAATGCACTACGCATCCCTCAGGGATTGACCAACGCCGACAGCTTTATCCTTTTTCATTCTTTATATTCGTACTAGTTGGAAAACTAGTGTTATTTTAACATGAATAGCTCATAACTCAATATGACAGCAACAGAGGAATACGCTAGTTCGCTCATTGCGCGAAGATATGAAGCCGCCATCGACTACACGCAGCTTCAAGATGAGCATGGGATGAGACCACGGATGAAGAGTAAAACAATTTTGAATTCCAACGATTAAAACACGGAGATTGGTATTCTGCTGGCAATAAATACGAAGGTGTTACTTATATATGAACGTCTCCCAGGTAACTGAAACATCTCATCTTGCTCCCTTTAATATAGAACTTGCACAGAAACCACTGCATGTGGGAGTTTTTCCCTGAAGATGTTCCTATATAGCGTTTCCGTGAAATAGCCATCTACTCGGAATATACTCAAAGCGTTACCGCAGTTACAAATATCTGTTTGAAAACATGGGTTTTAACATAGCGGGTACTCCAATCGCTCACATAGGCAGACAAGAACAATTCTGTCAGTGGAGTTCTCAACAGTTTTACAAGTGAGCGAAGCTACAAGGTGGACACATGCCACTGAATTAATAAGGAGAAAGCTCTCTTTATTAAGAACACCTGTTGTGGAAAGAATGACTAGCCATGAACGATCAGCTATCGTATAGTCGCAACTTCTGGCACCGTTGAAGTAACCCTTCAAAAATTCACAGCCTCGTAAGCGTGGGAGTGTTTAATGAACACCGAAAAGCCTGATAAACAGCGAGGTATCGTTTGGTTGAGTCTTCCTCACTGAGACTTCCTTGAAAGATCGAAAGGTCAGCTGAGAGTAAACATCAGCTACCTAGATGAAAAATATACTCACATGAGTCATAAGAGAAACAGTCACCTGACAAGAGGGTATGGAATTTTAACCCAGATAACTCAAGACGCGAAAAGTTCGACCAACATTGTGTAGTGGTACTCACTGGGCAAGAATTAATAGGTTACTTAATTAACCACAAATTTGTATGGTCCAACTTCATCAATTGTATATGCCTCCAATTTGGCATCCCGAAGATATGTGAGACTTAAATGGCCTGAAGCACAGTAGATCGAGCCTGGAGCCACTGTCTGCTTCTCTCATTCCAGAGTGAATTCTGGCCACGTGAAGGAAAACGCCGAAGCATAGAAGAGATCTTGTCGAGAAATTAAACGGAAAATAACGAAGAGCGTGTACAGCTTTTTGTTTAGTCGTGGAGTAAGAAGGCAAGCCATAGCACACTTACGTGCCTTGCTGCAGAATCGTTGTTCGAACCTTCAGCCAAATATGAACACGATGCATAAAGTGCTCAGCAAAAGACACGTACCATCAACCCGGCCCGGCCGCCGATGCTTTGAACATTTAGGATAGTTATGACCTTGCAAGTTTGCGGAGAGGCTGCAGAACAGCAGTCCCAGTAGCCCTATGAAAGAGCGGGATGGACATGTAATTCCAACGAGATGGAGTAACACCTTTCCCAATCTTCTACTTTGTTACCGGTTTTCCAGAAAGTCATGCCTACACTTGATGCTATTTTCAACGAGAACTCCTGACATTACCTTTTCAGTTGTTACTTCGGATGCAAATAGGAGTCCTACACAGAACTGCTAATGTTTTTTTGCAAGCCTTATTATCTGGTGACGATTTGGTACGTCACGTGGCAAGAAGTGAAATCGTAGTCGTAAAAAGAAATGAAAGGATAAAGTTCTCGGCGTTGATCGATCCATGAAGGATGCGCCATGCATCCGACTTCGCCAAGCATTATTAGAGGTGACTGAATGCATACCTGGCCTAAAAAATTACTCACAGTGACCTGCTGATGTATCGAGACAGTGCTGGTACCGTAGTAAAAAGATCTAGTAGAAATTTGGCGACTCTGGAGGGATGGAATGTTTGTTGAGCCTGTGACGCGGGGTCGAACCCATGTGCATTGCAGGACATCTTTAATCAGTGCACTACTTGCGCCCTCCATGACCATAGGAACCAGTTATCTCGATGAAGACTAACTAATTCATGATGAGGGACAATTTTTTAATCGATATTTTAAAGGTCATTACAGGAATAGAAATTTTAAAACTGTGAGTGGCCCTTATACTACGAGGGCTCAAATTGCAAGAAACAAGCTAGCACTCGACTCGAACCGTCGTGGCTCTGAAGAACCTGATGGTGGTGGAACCTTAAACCTAACAAAAGTTTATGTAACAACCACTTGTAAGCCTATCGATAAACTAAGATATTAGTCCCATAAAGTGTTGGATTGATAATGCAAACAAGAGCTTCAAGAACTTAACCAACCAAGCCGACGGCCATTCTTCCAGAAAATGATGGCTTTATAGAGCAGCAGCTTCAGAGCCCAAAGTGATTTGTTGCTATCACGATTGCCATACTATAACGTTTAATGATTTAAACAAATATGTACCGTATCCGATGAAATTCCTATTAGTGGAATTTCCATCAATTGATAAGCGAATACCAGGATCCACCACTGTTCTGGTATCAAACTAGTCGTATGGTGACAAATCTCCCTCTGATCTACAGGAACGGCGACTTGCTGTGGTAGCGACGACCCGGGACAGACTTTGGCTAGGCTGACCTCTGGATTCCAGGGAACCACAATGGTTAAGCCAAGAAAATTCCGAGAAAATGGAAATGATGCTGGGTCCACACAACCAGTGAAGATGCGCAGTCTAAGTATCAAATTAAGTATTCTTTCTTTGATGAGCTTACACGAGGTTGATAATGATGTTTATTTTCGGCTAACGTTTCGACGTCTTCGTCTTCCTCAGAGCCGATGGTCCAAGTCGATGGTCCTCGCTTGTTATTCGCCTCGACGTTGCGTCTTCGCCTTCGTGTCGAGCCAGATCTTCCTCAGTGAGCCATCTCCTCGAATGAGGCATCTTTACTCAGTGATGCCTTTACTCAGCATCGTGTATAAAAGGGCATCACTCAGTAAAGATGCCTCATTCGAGGAGATGGCTCACTGAGGAAGATCTGGCTCGACACGAAGGCGAAGACGCAACGTCGAGGCGAATAACAAGCGAGGACCATCGACTTGGACCATCGGCTCTGAGGAAGACGAAGACGTCGAAACGTTAGCCGAAAATAAACATCATTATCAACCTCGTGTAAGCTCATCAAAGAAAGAATACATATTGATTAGTGATACCGAGGTTCAGGGAAAGTCGGTTTCGAAATATCAAATTAAGTATTTGATGAAATTACAAGTCTACCTGTACTCACCTGAACTAAGAGTTGTTTAAGAGAATGCTCTAGTTGTTGTGGAATCTTAGATTTACAGTCAACAGAACTAGCACCTTTAAGCTTAAATGGACTTTCTCACTAGTACTTTCCATGGAACATTATTGAGAATTGCCATACTTCATAAATCCTCAAAACTTCAAAGAAATGCGTATTGTACTACAAACTGCTTATTAATGAAGTATCCGAAAAGTACAGCTGCACTCGATGAGTACTGATGGCCTTGTAAGGATGTACTGGCAGTGCAGTCAGGCACAGTTGTGCTGCATTGCCGTTAAAATCTCTTCAAATATTAAGCTGCTATAAAGTTTAATTCCCTCGCTTTATGCTACAGAACTAAAAGTAAAGTATGGGGAAAAGTTGTTCATTATTAGGACTTAATTAAGGACCACGTAATTTTGTAGAGACGCAATGAGATATTTTATAAACGGCTGGGTTACGATCATATCAAATGTCTGAGACTACAGACACAAAGCTCCGCCTGATTTTGAACATTTCTTATGTTGCGCTTGTTCTCCAGCGTTGTTTATCGCTTACACTTTAATTTGTAGTTTTCATTTTATCGCTAAGGATTTGTTCTTTAGTTACCTTACTGGCTTTTGAAATCTGCTTCTTATAAAATTCATGTTTAGTGCTTTAAGAAAATGGGCAAAACTCACAGAAGATGCTTTTTCGACATCTCTATCGATGGAAGGGAAGCCGGAAGAATAGTTTTTGAGTTATTTGACGACGTCGGTACGTGATTTATGAGTTTAACGTATTACTGGAGTAGAAAACTAGCTGAGAGAAAGGCGAAACAACGGATCCGCATGATGTGGTGGTGAGCACGTTAGCCTGCGAAAAGGGTAATAACGGGTTCGATCCCAACCGCAGAAACATGCGGTCGGGAGTTTTGCAAATATCTCAGCATCATTATGGTTACATTATTGGGGTGTTCGTACTCCACAATACTTTTCTGACTTAGTTCTAACATGAAATTCCATTGTAGATGTCTGAAATGTGAGTGCAACCTCATATTTCCTTTATCATTTGTAGCACCCCGTACTACCGAGAATTTCGTCAAGCTTTGTACTGGAGCGGCAGGACTTGGGAAACAAAGTGGTATTCCATTGCATTACAAAGGATCAACATTCCATAGAGTGATTAAGGATTTCATGATCCAGGTACTATCCTGCGTGTTTTTCTTGTTTTTTAATCGACAGACCTAAAGGTCACATTTGCTACCATGGTTTCGTTTAGGGCGGTGATTTTACAACTGGCAAAGGCACTGGTGGAGAATCAATCTATGGCGGTCTTTTTGATGACGAGGCTTTTGTTCTAAAACATGATGAACCCTTTCTTCTCTCCATGGCAAACAAGGTGCGCTTCAGTGTTATTGCTTAGGGATAACTTCATAAGTAGTTATTTTAAGGGCCCAAACACTAACGGATCACAATTTTTCATCACGACTAAACCCGCTCCACATTTGAATAATAAACACGTAGTATTTGGAAAGGTTGGCGTTCCTATCCTTCACAGACATTGTTATTGTATGGTGTCCAAGTAGTTCAGGTAATTTCCGGTAGTGAAGTTGTGACAGAAATCGAACATCTCAAAGTCAATGCAAGATCCTGTCCTGTTGCCGATGTCATCATCACTAATTGTGGAGAACTTGTCAGGAAGCGAAAGAGGGAAGTCAGCAGCTCCGACACCGAGTCTTCTGACAGGTTTTTTTTTACATTTTACGTCTAGGGCGCGTGTAGCGCAGCAGTCGGAGGCGCCCTACAATGCACATGGGATTGATCTCCGCGCCGTAGGCACACCAATCCATCCATCCCTCGGGGGTCGGCAGATTGGTACAAGATTTATCTTGGAAGATAGCAGCACTGACTTTATACATTGGCAGGCCACCGCGAGTCATTGTAAAAGCCAAACATTCATTCAGTGACCTTCAACGACGCTTAATAAAGTCGAAAGGATGGCGTATCTCTTAGGGATTGATCACCACCGAAAACTTTAACTTTTCTACGTCTTATTTCTTTAAGTTCGCACAGTACCGTATTTTCCACCGATAGGAATTTTTCCACACATTTTGATTTATTTCTAGTGAACAAGAAAAACGTAAGAAGAAGGCATCTTCGAAACAAAAGGAAGAACAAGCTACAACCACCGAGAAAGATGAAAATAATAGGGATGCCGTTGCGGCAAGTTGTAATTTTGAATTTTGAATAAATATTCATAGTTCAACACAACATCTGTACGAGTAAAGGTATTTTTTTCTATAATTATCTTCATTTATAGGTCTGCTCAATAAAGAAGGAAGACTTGCCGCCCGAACCACCTAATCAACACTCGTTCCTTATGCGAAGATCTAAAACTCCCGAAGATCGGAAGAAAGCTAAGGTTCGTTTTCAATCGTGATTATTATAATGGTTGCATTTCCGTGTTGACTAATAAAAACCTCATCTCCTTTATGTGGAAGCTGCAATTTCCTTCAGAAATTTTGTTCGTTGTGCTGTAGTCGGAGGTTCTCATGTGTATTGCACGGCGGGTATTGCGCAATGTTCGGAGGCGCTCTGCGATACACAGGAGATAGATCCCCACCCCAAGGCTCACAAAGCCTTCCATCCCTCGGGGATGGGGAATTGGTTTAATCAGACTTGTCTGAGAAGGCAGCAGTACTGGCTCGATGCATCGGTAACCGCCGTGAGTCATTGTATAGGCCAGACATGCATTCAATTACCTCTAACGATGCTTAATGAAGTCGAATGCATGGCGACCTAGGATCCTGTGATCCCTCAGGGATAGATCAACGGCGAGAGCTTTATCCTTCATCCTTTTCATTTTGTTTTACTACATCTTATATGCGATATGTAAAAATTATTGGGATTTTATTAAGTGGGTTCTGTATATCATACGACAGAGTGTTTCCATGAGGACGGTGATGGTGAAATAGCGCTGTTTTCTGCACATAGGATAAAATAGTATTAAAACTTCAAGGTCGAGTTTGACACTTGTGTATGCTAAGAATGGTTCAGTAGATCATTGGTTGTACAGGTATTTTCAGCTTTTTTTCCCTCCAGTGCTTTCTTTTTTTCTCAAAACCTTTTTCCTGTACTGTCTAGATGAGAAATTTTGTTTTTATTTTTCGTATTTAGGAGACTGGCTTTATTTGCTTACAAATTTAGGAAAATGGTGGGAAATCTGGAAAGGATAAACATCACGATGTTAGTTTCCTTCATCGTTGAATTTTATTTCATCTTCATTCTTCATAGGTGATGCAACCGTAGAAGAACGAAGAGCTTCGAGTGGCAATGAAATGAAGGAAATTATCTCTTTGCCTTTTCAGAATGACAAGAAAAAAAGACGATCTCGTACGCGTTCACCGGTTAGAAGACGATCGCGTTCGCGTTCAGCACGCAGAAGAAGGTCCCGTTCCCACTCACGTCATAGGAGAAGGCGACGTTCGAGATCACATCGTCGCTCTGTAAAATTTGTTCTGTTTTGTCTTTCATATTGCAACCTTTATGCTTTCCAGTTCCACTTTTGCTATATTAAGGGAAAAAATGAGCGCTCTCAACCAGAAAAGATCATTAAAGTAAGAGGACGTGGCCAATTGCGTTTTACATCACACCTTCGTGATAAGACACCACCTCATTGGAAGCGTGAGGAGGTATACACATATGTAGTTCTTTGATTCATTTTGCATTTTCTTGTATGAATATTTATATAGTTTCATACATCCTGCTTACCTGTAGATACTTAAGTTACCCATGTTCACATATAATGGTGGTTCTAGCAATTTTTCTGCTTGTTTCGTCGTTTTGGAACTATGAAGATCGGTTTTTTTCTTTTTGCTGAGACTGAGTAAAGGTCGAGTGTAATTTCCTCCAGTATTCCGAGGTAGCCATTGTGAAGCGTTTGAACTTTTTCGCCTCAAGCAAATGTCGGCCTTTGTGGGTTAGAGGGTTTTCTTTACCACTAGCTGAGCTACCGTAACATTGGTAACACTTGTTAGGCTGTGCCTTGCTTCCGGGTGGGAATTTGGAACTTCTGAATTTGGTTGACCGTGTTGGGAGTATCCATTCCCCAAGATACATCAGAACATGCATGCAAGGCTTCCAGTCATGATCAAGCGGTAAGCTGTTTCGGTGTGTATTTAACGTTTTCGAATTCATTTAGTACTTGCCTATTTTGCGGAATGGAAAATGTTGAAAGTAGAGTAGAATTTACAAAATGCGTATTGTAGTCAATGCGTTGAATTCTATTCCTATGTTTATGTGGGAATGTTGCACTTAGTACTTTCACATTATTCCAGGCAAAACTGATCACATTAAAAAGAATGCAAGAACTGAGAGAAGAACGTGCTAATCGAGAAAGAGAGTATCAGGAAAGGATAGCCCGAGAGAATGCGGTAATCTGAACTGTTTTCTATCCTCTTATGTAAAGAAAGTTGAAGTTTAATTGAACTACCGTTTATGGTTTTTGGTTGATTCTACTTATTAGGAGAAGCGCGATATTGAGAAGAGGAAGTTAAATCATGATGAGGAAAACGAGGAGCGGAAGTCGGATGACGATGGACTTGGGGAGAACAAAGCGGACGAAATTGAGGTTAGTTCACATTGTCTTTTCATTTGTTTACATCTAGCAGTCATATTCTGTGGCGGTGTTGTGAAATCAACTCATGTACCTGGTTTAGTTGCGTGAACATCAGGCAGAGGAAAAATCGCAAAAAGTGGAGAAACCAAAGGACCATGAGACTGAAGAAGATGACAACGAGACGCATCATCGCGATAATGATAAGCAACGATCGCTAAATCCAAAGGAAACCCGAAGAAATGACGAACGTGATCGCGGTCGTGAGGTTATTTTTTAAAGTAATGGGCCCGCCTATGTCTCTGCTTTCCCATACTTTGTTTAATGTGTTAAGTTCTCCCTGTGAGTACGTGGTAAAGTGAAGGAACTTTTGTGTTTAATGAAATACTGCCCACCATTTACATAAATTACAACCTTCGCTGAGTTTATCGGTCTTGGTGTTCTTAGCATTTCCAAAGAATTTAGAGTTAGATCACTGCTTTTCCATCGACTACTTCTTACCTCAACTTACCTCAAAGCACTAGAGGAATGCGATATCTCCAGACATGTTTATTGTACACCCCACTTGAGAGCGCTTTCCACGTATATCGGAAACGTTCATTGAATATGAAGAACTGGACATGTACAAAAGTCCACCAACGAACTAGCTGATCGCACACGTTTTAGATGTAGCATTACTTCCACATTATGTAGCGATGCGGATGTACCTTTTAAAAGTGATCCTGCATGGTGTGGTGGTGAACGCGTTAGCACCCGGAAAGGGTAATAGCGTGTTCGATCTCCATTACAGACACCTGTGGTCTGGAGTTTTGCAAATATCTCAGCGTCATCACATCTTTTAAAAGTTAAGCGGCACAATTAAAATTAAACCGACTTTTCTGTTCTGGGTTTTCGACAACCAGCGGAAGGTTTGTCAAAAAATAAAGGTGGAAGGACCGGTGTGGGGCTAAGACTAGGTGGACAAAAGGAACATTGGTTTTGTTTTCGAAAGAATTAAAGGGATCTTAAGTGAGATTTCCAAAAATATGAGGCGACCAGTTTACTGCACCCTTGCACTGACTTTACTACTAGCTAGGATTATATCACTGAATGTTGGACTGCAGACATACCAACGCAAGACCAACAATAACATCAGTGAATAGCGGTTTTAATTTTTTTTTCGACGAAATTGGTGAAGGATTGGCGCGGTCATCAATTTATATGAATTCCCAGGAGCTTGACAACTTCATTAGTGACTCCGAGTTTGTGGAAGCGTGGACAAGTAATAGGAACTAAGCAATTTTGTGTCTTTTATTCTGCTGTGGCGGTACAAATGGGATCGATCTTTTCGTCCCAGATCCAAAAAGCCTTACATCTCTCCGGGATCGGCAAATTGATACCAGGCTTGTATGGAGACGATAGCCGCACTGGCTCGATACATCCGTAGGCCACCGCGGGTCATTGTAAAGACCAGATATGCATTCAGTAACCTCCAAACGATGTTTAATGAAGTCGAATGCATGGCACATCCGTCAAAGATTGATCAACGCTAAGAGCTTTATCTTTTTATCCTTTATTTATTCTGTTGGAATCTCTTGAAATTTTTGAGCCAAGTTTATGTGAATACTTCGCTGGAGCGAAAAAGTGCGGCATGGTTTACAATCAGTTTGATTGTTGGGTTTCTTCTAAATATTCCATTTGCACTAAAATCCGAGGTTCTGACGTTTAGTGTTAACATTTTTTTCGAAAAAGTGATGTATTCATTGTGTTAACTGAACATTATGGACAAAATTTCCTTCTTTATTTAGAAAGAACGAAGGAGAAGTCGTCACCATGGGGACAGTGGCTGATCTTCCGGTCGGTACTCGCAGAAGCAAATAATCGTTTTGCTCTGCCTTCATGGTTTGTTGATGTATGTTGTTGGACCACACAACTCACATTTTTGATTCCTTTAGTAAGAAAGGATACCGTCAATACTGCGTTTCAAGTTCTTATTAGACTAGTAAGTTACAAGTTCTTACTGTTACTGGCAAAGTTCTCTGACTTTAGCCGATAAACGATTATTTGAAGCTATTTGAACCATATAAGTATTTGTTTGACGTTTTGCTGTTTTAAGGTTTCTCTATTTTTTTTCATTTGTATGCTCGTTGTCTTCTTTCTTTTTTTTCTTTTTTTTGCATTTCCAGTTTTCCAATATTATGTTATAAATTGATGTTCATACGGTATAGTGGATTTTAACATCAACTTTCTGTTCTTAGCGAACACATTCTAAAATATTTTCTGCAATTTCTAGTGCTATTAACACTTTACTGTTTACAGAGCTCTGATTAAATTAATATTCTGAGACGATATTTTTACTTTTGACATTGGAAATTTGTTTTCAAGGTTCAATAGTGCTTGCCATTAACGCCTTAGCGACTAGATCTTCCCCTAATTCCACAAACTTTTTAAGTTATGTGAGTATGTGCAGGCTTAATTAAGCGTCTTATCGAACTGTAGTGCAACCATGTGATCTGCTTGGATCGTAAGAAATTTGTTAAGTGCTTGGAGAATTGCCATGGATATCTCGTAAAAGGCGTGCGTGGCGCAGTGGTCGAACGCGCCCTGCAACCACACATGCTATCGATATGCATTCAGTTACCTCCGCACGATGCTTAATGAAGTCGAATGCATAGCGCATCCCTCAGGGATTGATCAACGCCGAGAGCTTTATCCTTTTTTTTATCAAGTACAACTCTTTGGATGAAAGTGGCAAGCTTAGGATTGTTGAGATAAGACTTCAATTAGTGTTAAGGAATCTATCATGTCTATTACCATGTCTCATTAGAAGTCGTCGAGTAAAGAAAGGTTAAATCAATGTGAAGAGAAATAATTTCATCCTAGTCCGATTGTTTGGCAGCTTGTCTTTTAGGTACGCTTTAGAAGGGATTAGACCACGGTTCGTTTAATAGTAGCAGTGGTGTTCGCGTAAAGTGCTGGTCCGACCGGATCCATACCAGTTGGGTTTCTTTTCCATCCGAATGCATGGAGTTAGTACCTTAGTTGTCTAGGAAGAGGTCTTTAAGATCAACAGTGCTTGATGAATTACGTGGTGAAGAGCTGAGGACGCTCTAGGGCAACTAGTCTAGGATTCAAAGGAGAGACGGCTGGATCGTAACTCAGTGACCATCATAAAGAAGACCGGAAACCATCAAGCCGGGTCTATACGTGAACTTTGTAGGACTTAATGGAGCACAGATGAGAGGAAAAGAATCAGTTGCAAGAAGTCCTCTTAAGCACAGAATATGATACGTTGGGCCATTTGAAAAGAAAATGTCTTAAAAGAGCGAATTTCTGTAAACCGTGGCAGCAGTAACTAATTTACGTAAATACCATGCCGACCTTGCGACAACTCAATAACAGCAGTTCTTAAGAAGTAACAGTAAGTTGTACGATCGACTACATTATTTTATGAGTAAGCAAGTATACCCTCCCTCTCAACGGTTTACCGCTTCATTGTGGCTAGGTGACCCTGAGTGTCGGGCTGCGATGTACAGTAGGGGTATTCGTCCGTCGAGCAGGCTTTCGCAAACTGAGAAGGAGTCTGGTGTTTTCATCAGGAAGTTTAGCTAGGAGCAAACCAATACCGGGATCCACCACCGTCCTGCTATCAAACTAGTCGTATGGTGGCACATCTCTCACTCTGATCAACAAGGGCTACGGCTGCCTATGGTGGCGATGACCTGAGGCCTACTTTAACCAGGCTGACCTCTGGACTTTGGGGAACCACTGCCTGTAAAACTCCGGAAAAGTGGAGCACGACCAACCAGTTAGGACGGGCCATCCAAGTAAGTAAACAACTGTCCACAATGTGCTTGGGTTTTAATCGAATTATGTGTTAGAAGTGTCTAATTATTCATTAAGGTAGAAATAACTGTGATACGAAGTATTTGGGGGCTGTTCCATTACGGACATCTGTTCAGTGAAATGAAACAAGTGAGCTTTGTCTAAACTGGTTTAATAGAATTGTGAAGGAGTCGTAGTATGTACTGACTACGCAGTGGGCGTGAGTAGCGTAAATAAATAGTAGTATCATCATTTCTTAACAGCATCCCCGAGTCCGAGTAGTTCGACATGAGGCCCAGTTAAGGCCAAACTTCTATAACCATGGTTGCTGTAGTCTGTAGTTGCTAGACATTGCTACTTTATCGTCAAGAACATAGAACAGAAAGGTTTTCCACAAGTGATGTTTCTTGAACAAGCGAAACCTACTTGGTTCTGGTTGCGATAAAGATGAGCTCAAATCCTACTGTTAGCGCTCGACCTACTTGATCATGAAGAGGTAAATTCATTAGATATGAACTAATAATATAAACATTCACCGTTTGTAGAAACGACAACGAATCCTGTTCCAGGTTAAACTGGGAATTCACATCATTGACGTTATATCCGATGATAGATATCCCTACTCATGCACTTCATTGTGGAGAGAAAGTCCTCTTCAATAAGCCCGCATTCATACTGGTTTCGTTCCTACTTGGATACTTGGACGGCCTATCTTCAGTGGTTGTACGGGCCCCAGCATATTCTCCACTTTACGGAATTTAGGTGGTTTAGCTATTGTGGTTCCCTGGAGTCCAGAGGTCAGCCTGGCCGATGTTGAGACCTGGAAGGTGGTGGACCCTGGTATTGGTTCACTCCTAGCTAGGCTTCCTGATAGAAACGCTGCACTCCTCAGCTTGGGAGGCCGTGATGGTGGGATGAACCCTTTCGCTGTACATCGCAGACCGATACCCAGGAACGCCCTCTCAGCCACAATGAGGCGGTAAACCGTTGGAAGGCAGAGTCAGATGATTAGCTTGTTAAAGTGTTTTCCCGAAAACTATATTTAGGAATACAGCATACTAGTTTCGTCTTGGACTTTTCATTAATTTTAGTGTTTTTACAAATACCAATACGTTGCTACGGTACCTCTCAGTGCGACTGATTATCTCCATGAGTTATGTAAATGGTGTACAATCACAACAGTAACAAACTTTATCGTTTTCTATCAACAATAATAATAATGCCTTGCATATGTTTATAACAATAACAGCAGTAGTGCTTTATGTAATGTTCATGATTGAATAATGTAAACAAAGAAAGGCACATACATGCAGAGTTTAGAGCAATTGTACCCCAATTTTTGAGCAAAACTGTTTAGATATCCGAGTTCATGGTTGTACAAAACAAACATTTTGATCGAAAAAATACCCAGAAGAAGGCACAATATGCATAAAAGACATTAGAATAATCCTATATTATGCTATCAAATTGAAAAGAAAACAGTAAGAGAAGATAAATAAAAAAGTGACCTGGCACTGAGGTACTGTATTATGGAATTTTCAAGAGTAAGACACCGCTGGAAAAGTGAAGACAGAAGGCAATAACTTCTTTAAAAAGAAATCTGTCTAGGAATTTTATTTCACACTATACGAAACAATACTATATAATGAGTGAGATCCAAGACGATGTGATATGTGACCACTACCCAGCCATAGTTCGTTTATGATCCTGAAACTCATCACTAGCGTCACCTGAACGCTTCAGGAGGGATAACTTCCACGGGCGGCATGTCCTCAAGAATCTAAAGTTTGGATTTTTACACCTTTTTCTGCCATCAATGTGTAGAAAGAGAACATGGTGCACGGTTTTTCAAAAATAGAACTAAAATAATAACCAGAAATTAGCATTTGCAATTAGTGCTGTGCACTTTAGACATTGCTTAGCTTTATCTCTTTCTTATATCAAACGGCAAAAAACGTACGGATCTGCAAAACACACCTTGACAAGGTTGTCGATACCAGTAAGGTATCCATCCTCAGAGTTCCCTGGAACCCAAGGAGTGCGATGATTGAGGGCTTTAGGAGGATCAACTGGCGATGATTTTGCAAAATCAATCATCCAACAGTTGACCTTCTCGTTATCATGTACAATAAGCAAGGAACTCCCAACGACCTGAAACTGGAGAAGCTTCAGACAAGCACAAGAAAGAAACAAACTGTATAAGCGACCAGAAAGATTTTTTAAAGAAAACCATCTGCTCAACAAGAAATAGGCGTTTTCAAAATTGGAAGCTAAACAAACTTTTAGGAATATAACTTCCAGAATTGGAAAAAAGCAAAGAAATGGAAAAGGCACCTCATGTGTAGCGAAAAATCGGCTCTTTTCGATGGCACATCTCATTGCATTCAGTCGAGCTAGTAGTTTGCTTCTCACTCTTTCTCGATCTTCACCGAAGAAATCTATTAATGTTCGAGTGACATCGTCAACTGTTCGAACTTTCTTGAAATTCTTTTGCAGGCAACCATCAGCTACCTAGATCCGCTAACGTAATAAAGTAAGAATAAGCTACAGTGTGGCAGTAGATAAAATTCACTCGTTTTTTCTTAACACACCTTAGCGGCTTCTATTCGAAATCCCATCGAAGCAGAGCTGCTTTCTCGTTCTCGGAACTGCATATAACGCAATTTTGTGATTTCTCCACAAGCTCTTTCTTCTGGTGTTGGCTCTTCTGGATCTATAGCTGTCATTTTTTCGTACAAATCTTTCCTTCGTTTCGTATTCGACACCTCAGACTCCAGAAAAGTCCTAAACAATGACACAGATGATTCAGAAGTGTAGGCAACTACTTGGGTAGTTGGATGCTTGGACAGTGTGTCCTCAGTGGTTGTGCGGTCTCCAGCATAATCTCCACTCTTCGGTATTTTACTGGCTTAGCGATTGTTTCCGTGGAGTCCGGAAATCAGCCTACCCAAACCCTGGCGCAGGTCCTCACCACCACTGGCAGTCGCAGCCCATGTGGATCAGATGAAGATTTGCCACAATGCGACTAGTTTGATACCAAGACAGTGGTCGATCCTGGTATTGGTTTACTCTTAGCTTAGGCTTCACGATGGAAAAGTCGGACTCTTTAGCTTGGCTAACCCTGTCGAGGGAATGAATCCCTCGCTGTACATCGCACTCCGACACGCAGGAACACCTCCCGGTCACGATGGGGTGGTACACCGTTGGGAGGAGTGTAGGCAATTAGTACATTCAAATAAAACGATGTATATGAACTTACCGGGTGCCAATTTTTATATCCATTATACTAGTTTTCGTTGGATCGGTAAACTGTTGCAATAAGTCCTCGATTTCGATAAAACCTTAAATTAGAGTGTTGGAGATAAGTGAGAGGTATATGTTAGCTCCGTAAAAACTTGCTATATGTGGTTCATTCGAGTACGATGACCTACAGTATATTAGCACTTATATATTTCTTAGGAGCAAATGCAAATGCATTTTGGTAAACAGTAAAAACAATCAAACAACAAAAGTTTCAATTAAGCTCAAACATGACGCTAATTATGTAAACATCAGAAGACCATATTGTAGCAGTGCCTCGCGACAAAGAAAAAGAAAAGGAAAAACATCCCGAATGTTTCCATAGATGACAAGAGACAGTATGTGACTTTATTTTAAACTCAGAGAGTGTACGCTTAGGATAAAAGATAGTCAGATAGGATCATAAGAAATAGAGATAGACAGGAGAGACATAAGAGATAAGATTTTGTCACAGAACTTACATTCATCGTTTTTATGCAGCTGTTTGTAGTAACGTGGTGTGAATCCATTCAGTACTGAATCTTTCGAGATATTCTCATAAGCTCTCGCCTCACTGCAGTTACCAGCTTGTTTCTTGTATAATGTACTAGTTGTTGCCGGAACGATACTGCCTGAAAGTTATAGACTTAGTTACAAGCGGTCTTTTAGTATCAAATGATACATTAACACTCTCACGACGACGCCCTTATCTCGGGTTTGGACAACATCTAATTTTCAGCCCTTGAAAATTTGCCGGATTTTTGAAAATGAACAATTTTTCGATAATTAGAGGACTTTGTGGTTTGTGAACATGAATGGGCCGTAGAAAAGACTTTTCTCTATCTTTCCATGGGTATGAATTTTATTTATGGTGGTCTTTTCTATAAGTTACTATGGTTCATCACTCAAACACATTATCGTAAGCATTTGGAAGTGTTTTACAACTTATGGGACTCCATTTCAGTAAATTTTCTACCCATACTATCTACCTAAAAGGCGCGTGTGGCGTAGTGGTTGGAGGCGCCACGGCGACACACATGGAATCGATGTCAGCGTTTATGGTCCACCAAGCCTTCCATTCCTCTAGGGTCGGCAAATTGGTACCAGACTTGTCTGGGAGGATAGCAGCACTAGCTCGATACATCGGTAGGTGACCGCGAGTCATTGTAAAGACCAGATATGCATTCAATCACCTCCAACGATACTTAGTGAAGTCGAAGGCATGGCGCATCCCTCAGCGATTGATCAACGCCGAGAGCTTTATCCGTTTACAGTCTATCTGATAACTACCATTCACTATAGGAATTAGAACTGAAACTGTAGTCGATTAGCACCCAAGTTTCGTGTTAGTGAAATCGTTCGAAAAAAAGTTTTTTTTACAGATTTCCAAGTGCAAAAAAGAGAGCTTTTTCTGACTAATGCGTAATACAATATCTCTGTTCTACAAACTACCAAAAGATAACAAAAAAGTATAGACAAATAGTCCTATGTGTTAAAATAAACTACAGCAAAGAAAATGAAACCTATAGATGTCAAACCGGCCACTCCCGCAGAACCAACATGACACCTATAGATGTCATTCGTCGTGAGGGTGTTAATGAACGGTGAGAAACACTGACGAATAACATGTACTGTTTCACTATGAACTGTTCAAGTAAGAGCATTGGACAAGACAAAAAGACAAGTCAATTGGACAATGAAGTAGATAAATTCTGCACTGTAGTTCAATTTTAGCGCTGTAAATGCTAAACATGTCCTCACTTCCTCAGTGTTTCGCTTCAATGTTGTCAAACTGAGTTACAACAAAAAACGGTTATGAGCATGCAGCAAACTACAGCTTCATTAAATTTCTCCCCATACTTGGTGTCACATTTTACATCAAACGCAGAACTCATTTCTTTCTCTACTATGGGGCGACATCAAAAGGCGATCGATGTGAGTGAATTGTGGGCAAAAACGTGTTAAACATTCGATGTGAGATTTAAAGAAATCGCTATTATAAGTGAATAAACACGTGGAGTTCACCGACATTAACATATTCATGATAGTGCCTAGTTTTGGATAGCGGCTGCATTGCACGCCCAATTTCTCAGCGCGCTAGCTGTGAATTGAAACCAACTCGTATCGACAATATTGCTTAGGGAAACGACGAACTCGCTTCTTTCTTCATATTTTTTCCTTGTCTAGTCTTCGTTTCATACAAATATTGTCAGTAATTTTTGCATTTATCATATTCTACGTCTCTAGGAACTTCTAAGGATCGCTCCAAGTTTTTGACGCGTTTACAACTTTTATGCAACAAATGAGCAAAACCCAAAACTTCGTCCACTATTCCCTGCTGTCAACGATTGGTGATCAGTTCCGTAGCACTTATGAAATAGATTAAGAGAATAAAATGTAAGGCAGGCGTTTTGGGCAAAGATTTATGGAAATGCATTGAACATGAAATGTTCTGCGAATACCAAGCCACTTGTACGGTATTTCCTTACGTGTTGATATCAGTTCACGTCGTCACGAGTGTATTGAGTTTCATAGATGGTGAAATGTCACGGTAGCAATCGATCACTACAGGTCACAGATTTAAGATTATCCAAGTTTCTTAATTGTCAAACAAACACAAATATTGAAGTAATTTAAGAAGGCAACAAGAGGACGTATCGATTTTCCAACAGTTGACTTCGGAGGTAACTTCGTAACAGCTGAGGTAGAAAGAACCCACTCTCACTATTCAGATGAATCTAACCATTTGAATCACTTTCTATCTTCGTCTACTTTATATAGGCAACTGGGAAACTCTTTTTGGCAAAGGACAGTATGAGTAGCCCTCTACTCATAATTTGAGGCTACGATGATACGGTTATCTTAAATCACATTCTATTACTAAATGTGTCACAATGAAATTTTTTCAAACTCGAACTACTTTCACATTTGATATAGTTCTTTTTCAAATAAAAGAAAAAGCGACTGCAATTATGAGCTGATGGTACCGTAGGTTACTCTAGTTACCATAAAACATAACTTCGAGGTACTAAGTAATGTCTAGGGAGATAAGGAAATGGAAAGCAGTGGGAAAAAGTTAGTATCATTAGGGTTCTTCCTTATCTATCATCTAACTACCCAAATGGCAACGCCAAATACAATATTCTAAAAGGCCCTGAATATCATGCATACCATATCTGTTTCAAAGACAAGAAACAAACTGTATAAAACTTAAATAATAGTAATCAATCTAGCACCTTTTATTTACTGCCTATTCCTTTTTTTTCCAAAGGTATGATGTGAAATATGAACAAAATGGTGCTGAGATATTTGTAAAATGTCGGGCCGCAGGTATCTGCGGTGAGGATCGAACACGCTACTACCTTTTTCGGGAGCCAACGAGTTCACCATCACACGATGCGTGTCCCCGCTTTGCCTTCCTCTATAAAGAAATAGGCAGTAAATAAGCAGTGATTAAACTGTGATTTATACCACAGCTTGAGCTAACTGAGTTTAATGCCGATTTGTGCCCTCCAGATCAATCCCGCTGACAGGCGATTGCTGATAGCACCTATAGGTCAACAACACGGTTGAGAGTACGGCGAAGCGAAGGATCCGCAGGGTGTGGTGGTGAAGGCGTTAGCACCCGGAAAGGGTAACAGCGTGTTCGATTCCCACCGCAGACACCCGCTCTTCGGGGTTTTGCAAATAATAGCTAAATCTAGTCATATATACTTTCTTAAAGTACAAAATGCCCTTCGCTAGACAGTGCATGTTATCTGAAAAACATGGGGAATATTAATCATCCTGAACAACCGTTTCAAGCAACGATTATTAGTTTATGGTCAGTAATATAACAATAATAATATATGAATAACAATATGATTGAAAATATTGATGGGTGCATTGTGAAAGAAGAAAAAGGAAAGAAAAACTGATTGATGAAGGAGCGTTTTCTTCTTTTTTTTCAAAAAATGAATGAATGTATGAATGAATGAAAGAATGAATGAATAGATGAACAACCTTCATGTCCGGACAGTTGTACCCATTTCTTTAAGCGCTCTTTTAGCCAAACGTCCATTGGAAGAGCCGTAATGGCCATAGTTTCTACAGATACCTGAAACAGTAATATTACATTAGATAGAAGTTCACGAATGGAATAGAAATCGTATGATCGGATGAGAAATGTACGTAAGGGGGAAGCGGAACGTCAATACTCATTGTTTGTCGTATGACGGCAGTGTAGCGCTACGTTATTGATTTTTATGTTATAGAATACTTTATGTATTAGTTTACTGGATTACAACGAACAGATCAAAGCGAACGATCACAAACGATGCTTCGATTTTTGATCGAGAGTTCGTTCTCTTCTCCTTCAACCTCTGACCGTAAATCATCCGTGTAGTTAGGTAATAAATGTAACGAATAAAGTAATAAGCGGCAGTTCTCGTCGGATCGGCTTCGGATATTCCCGTCAGAGACCACAATCCCATCATATCCGTACTGTTTACTGTTTATTCAGCTGGTTTTCGATCGATATTCGTCGACGTTAAACGTTTTATGATTTCCCTAAGTACTGTTTCCCGAAAACTAGTGGGATGGTATTAAATACTGTGGAATAGTCTGAAAATCCATACTGCATTAGAATGCACTTTATCGCGATAGATTAGGTACGTGTAGGTCACACAACGAAAACTGACCTAGACTAAATGAGTTACAGTATGCCCCCTATGGAAAGTGCGTTTAGATTTGCGAACTTGAAGTTGGACTTTATTCAATAATTTTGAGTAATTTTTTATCGCAGTGAGCGTTTCATAGCATTCGTTTCTGTGCTTTTGTTTCCGATGTGCTGTGTCGTCCCACTAATGTATTGAAGTGGAACAAGGAATAAAAAACCAGCCCAATTTTAAAGCACAATTTATGAAGTTCTTAATGAAATGCTGCTTTTCCTAGTATTCTGGTAGCGAACTGATCGATCGGACAAAGCATAACAAGTCATGAAGAGTTTGAATCAACACTTCCACCAAAACAAGCGGTACGCAAAGGTCATGAATTGCAATGAGCCTGTGATTCACAGAAGATAGCAACACCTTGATGGTTTTTTGGGAACGTTGTTGAGTGCAAGGAATCAAAAAGACGGCTAAAATTCACATCAGATTCCGTTTTCATCAATCCACGAAAACTTCGGAATACTTGATGTCACGCAGGTTAACACCAAGACGGTCTTTTTATTCAAACGCCAACTATCGTCACTATACATGAATTCCTTTCAATCATAATTGGTAGCGCACCGTAGAAAGGTAAACGTCTACGAGTCACACAGGACTTCAAAGTAGTACTTTCATTTCGCCATCCAACAAACCTTTAACTGTATCTATAACCCTATCAGATAGCCCTTCAAATGGAGAAAAGAGCTTTGTCCTTGAGACATCTTATCTAACTACTAATAAGTGTTTGCTGAATAAAAATTTGTGTAGAGAGAGCTACAGGTGGTAGAGAAGGAAATGAATTGTAGGTAATACCAAAAAAGCAGTCTGGAAGATTGTTATCGAGAAGAATGATGAGACGAGAGGAAACTACGATAGACAGACAAGTACGACGGAACGCACCCAATCCGGATGTAAATTCTCCAATGAAACCACCTATGAGATATGCGGACGAACTTCTAGACAACGTCAACCAATTGCCTTCACAGTTAAACACTTCTGAATCATGAAGCGATATTCTTCGATGGCGATATAACATCATATAACACGTAACACACCATTTCTTTGGACGACGACAGCCAGGAAACAAATGGATGAGCTATGCTGTTAATCCTTGTGCAACCTCTGGAGAATCAAGAAGGGTGGTTATAGCGATAGTTGGTGTATCGTTTAGATCTAGAACGACCATACTGATTTACACAATTTTACACATAAATCTCCCTAACATATCGAAAACTCGTCGGACGATAACGATAGCGAGCCGATTGCACGTGCTTTCACTCTCACAATGAACAATAATCAATTTAACCACTACGCTGCTGAGATATTTGCAAACCTTGGATCGGTGTCCAGAGATTCGAACAAGCGATTACCCTTTTCTAGAGCTTGCGTGTTACCCACTGCACCATTTAAACCTTAGCTCTGCCTTTCTCTCAGCCAATTTTCTATCTAATGGTGCCATAAGCAATCACCCGTCAACAGGACTGATCTGGGGAGCAAAATCGGCATTAAACGTAAGACAATGTAATAATCAATCCACTCAAAACTTTACTAACTCGATGACAAAGTAACGATAAGATCTGACGTAGAAGATCTAACGCGGGTTATTTTTCTAGGTACTTCACGTTGATTTATGAAAGAATTTCGACATGCGAAGTATAATCTCTTACTTCTAGAGTTGTAAATATCTTACAAGACCATTTCACTTCATTTCTTCATTGGATCCTAGAGAGTTCATCTACAATGAAATAATGTTATCAGTTTTTTGAATGGTAAAAATCGTCAGTGATTTACCCTTTCAGAGAGCTAAATTTATTGAATTCGAAAGCGATAGGTCCAACAGAGTTCTGTACGCCAATATAAGTGCTTCTAAGAAAGTGAGCTACGCCCAAAATCTCTCCTTATCGTATTACAATCGTTTTCGTATCATTTACATTAAGAAGAATTCACGATAGCACCCAATGTTTTACTGTTGGTTAATATTTTTCAAAAAAACAGCCTTCATCTTAAACAATGCAAACGCGGCCAAATTAAATTAAACAGCGGAGGGTGGTGTAGTGAAAGTGATACCGATCATCACGAGCACGATTCTGGTTCGATTCCGAACCGGGCTTAGCAAGCCTCTCATCTCGCAGAGTTTCAGAAATTGGCACCAGACTTTTCTGGGAATCGTGAAAAAGTTCACCCTCTGCAATCCAGGGGGGAAAGCTCTACTCCGTTTATCTTAGAGATCAAGGGAGAATCGACTCGACGAGCATTCAGCGACAATCACAACGAAATGAAAATCCTCAAGCAGCAATCGACCTCACACGCAAAAAGTTGGAACACCTCTGTGGATGGTGGATTTGAGAAAAAATTCGGATGCAGGATGTGCTAGGATCCACAGAGTAGATGCTAAGGTCGAGTTGGGTGAAAAAGAATGTAGTTAAATTACTAACTGTCGACAGACTATTAACATCATCCACCACCACCAGTATAATTTCCAGGATGTCACAGAATCCCGCTATTATTAGTTGGAGCATTTTAGTGTGGATACTGGAAAAAGTCCCTGCATTTCGTTTTTTGTGCATTATTGCGTGCTGGTGAGTGACGGCTTTACGACCGAAAATGTGTAGTGCAATCTGTTTCGGTGTGTTTACTAAAGCAGTAGCACTAGCTATCTGATTGATGTTCCATGACCAATGCTAACCAAACAGGATTGATTGACTGCTCGAAAGCTACCGATCGATCATTTAGGTGGGCGAGTGGATTCGTGAGAACTAGAAATGTTGACTACACATGACACTATTACGCTCATGAAACAAAAGGATCATAGCGATCACCGTGAAATCATCTGACAAAAGTGAGAAACGTCATTCGTTTTTGAACGGAGGGAAATCATATGCATTAGATCGGCGGTACGACGACTGTTGATAGTAGTAAGGACGATAGTGAATACTTAAACATTACACTGATAACTTACGTGATCACATGAATGACGATAGTAGCCTGGTACACGGCTGAGACGAAGTCGTTTCAGATCCGAAATCTCCAACATTCCATGAAGAACGACGGACTCCTTCTTCGTTTCGATTTTCATTCGATGACGTCTCGTTGGATTTCTGACGTCGTGGGAGGATGCTAAGTGCATACGATGTACGAAATTGTGCTGTATGAATCAACAGCCGAGACGATGCATTTAAAGGTTTACGACGAGACCCTCCCCGTTCGCGTGTCCATAGAACCGCCCAAAACGTGACGCTAACGGCACCTGGGGCGGAGCGTTGAAGACGTGGGCGATTTTTCGTTGTTCAAGAACTCGAAATAGAAACCTAATCGGAAAGAAGAATGCCAAAGATAAGAACTGTTATCTGAGACCGGAAATCCGGTAACAGTAGCACAAAACGGGTAGTCATTGATGATACAAAGAAGACGGAAAGGGCTACATGGTTAACGAACAAACTCCTACTGACATGGTTAAGGCAGACGTGCTAAGCTTAACGAACACAGGAAATGTCATTTTCAAGAGCCACATATTCCAGGATACTGTTTGGTTCTGAATTTTGACAAAACCATCGAACTCTTGAAAATTTTTACTGATCACTTGCAGTTGCTAGAAAAAGAATAGTAAGCACAATAGCGGAACTTTGAAGGCCTGCTTACAATTACAGTTAGAACGAAGGTGACAACGATGAGAATGAAAGGAATTTATGGATGGAAATCACGACCAATTCCAATCACGAGATCGATCTGGACTATATATAGGAAATCAGATATGATGTAGACCTCGTGACACTGTGATATCAATTGTAGTTGGTTAGTTATCACATGGGGCGTCGTCGCGTGCCAACAATGGAATGTGTACGGAGAAATCAACCCTTTTTAGCTTTTAAACTGTATTTGTAAAATAACTTCCTACAAGACTGAGCTTACACGAGACTGACAAACGCCTTCCTCTTCTTCAGAGCCGAGTTGATCAGCTTCTACGATCCCAAGGTGGTCGTTGCAACGATTTAGGTGTTCGTAGTGTTCGTATAGCATCAAAGAGCTCGGCGATCTCTATGCAGGAGTCTCAGCTTTTTGCACCATCCAAATTTCCTCTCCCATGGGAAGTATTACGGAAGTAAACTGCTTCAATTTCGCTTGTCGATCACACTTGCAAGATATTCGTGCAGCCTTTATTAACCGCCAAGGGAAACCGCTTAGTTGAGTGAGGTCGTGTGAAGAACAAGCTCTATCATAGGCTTAAAATTAGCCATCCATTTTATTTCTATTGCGACCATGTATTACGCAAACGCATAAAATCTAGATAGAGCTCTAGAACTCATTGCTATAGAAGGATAGACTTCCGATTCTTCAAACATGGACGAGTTTTCTTCGAATTTGCCGAATACCTGGATCGTAGTTTCCCGTTAAATTCACTGTTATGGAAAGATGGACATTCTTCCGATTGTTCTTCCAATATGACGCGCTTTTGTTGAATTTTTCGAACTTTTGAACCGCATTTCTACAAGAGAAAGAAGGACAACGTATTGTTCAGAAATGCCTTGCACTGCATGCATG